ACTGAGCTGCACCAAAACTGCGAAATTTGCCGAAATTGCGCCATGCTGTGCCAAAATGCCTATCCTGCCTCAAAATTTTCTCAGGTGCATTAATTTCAGGGAGCGAGAAACGCCCTGCAGTTTGCGTCATCAGTCAAAGCGCGCAGACCCTAATTATAGTGCCTGGAATAACAAACCACATGAAGTAACAATGCTGCATGCCCATCAGTTTGCTGACCGCAGTGTATGTCTATCGGCGGGACGACAGAACATCAAGACAAAAATGCGTTGCTATAGCTGCATTAGCGCTTCGCGGGAAATGTACATTTCTAGCCTGAAAACGCGGCTATGGCTTCTTAGGAAATAAAGCTGAAAGCATATGCGACGTTTCCTCCTGCAAACAAGCTCGACGTGCTGCAAACCCCGGCGTTGCCAGCGGCCATGTTGATTGGCTTAGCAGTGGCACATAATATATTTTTTTTTCTTGAATTTACGTTGTCCAGACCATGGTCCTGGCGATAGATGTCTGGTACCATCGCCAGGCCAATGGGTGCACGCCGTTATTTTACCTGGGCGAACGCGTCTTGCATTGGAGCTGAAGTAGTACACAACCCCACAGTGAAAGAAAAGAAAAAAAGGTGGGAAGTTGGGGGGGGGGGGGGGAGTTGTGGGGGTTTCTGAAAATTTCTTGGCTTGGGATTCCAACTTGTGCAGAGGATGCTGCTTAAGCCACCTTTGCCGCACTACACCAGTGTCCTGCAGAAAAGCATATTGAGATTAGGGAGGGTCTGTTAGTGTTAGTCACGCGACACTGCACACTTCGTTCAGTTTTCGTGCATTTGTACGCCACATGATTCTTAGTACCAGTATAATCAATGACATTTAAATAAGCTACTGGTGATCATTTGGAGCAGTGTATTACTTTTGTGCTTCCCTGAAAAACAAACTAAATTGTGCGCCAGTTTGTTTTCACCATCCCTACTCCTCGGTTATACGAATCTTTCAACTATCACGGTCACAAGTAGGGCAAATCTGTATTTAAATTAGCAGAGTCTGTCAAATGATGTGACAAGCGCAGCAAATGCTAATATAGACTTTATCACTGTTCGCTCAGTGGGGTTGTTGCTCATGTTCACACTGCACGACTTAGGTGATATTAAATGGTGTATACATATTTTTTTTTTCTAAATGTACGCCTTCTTTTTTATACTGCTCAAAATTTGGTGTTTCGTGATAAAAAATGCATGTCTTTTTCTCGTATCCTGCTCCAAGTTTGGATTCTAGTGCTCGAAAAGTAACGTTTTGCTGCTCCAAAAATTGCTCCAAATGGTACTTTGACTGTTGCACCCATGTGCATCGAATCTTGGTTAATCCAAAAGCAGGCACTTCGTATCATAACACACAGTACCTCTCACACTTGTTCGGCTCCGCTATTCTCCTCACTAAATACTCTATTTAAAATATTATCGTCTTAGCTGTAAGTGCCTACCGCGTAGTACATAATCCAAATCTCTCTTATATCACGGGTTAAGAACTTGCAACCTTCTCTGACAACATACGTTTCTCCCTCCAAAGTAAAATCCCACTGCCTAGGGCACGTACAAATTATGAATAAAGAACAGTAAGCGTTTCTGCAATCAAGGTGTGGAACACTGCCCCTGGAGGCTGAAACCTCGAACTCGCTATATGCTTTCAGACATTGTTTGCCATTCAGATTGGACATTCAGTTTTAATCTTTCAATTTATATTTAATTTTTCTTATTACTTCGTCTTTCCTACAGTGCATTTTGTGTACTTTTTAGTTACGCTCATCAGCCCTGAGAATGCTTTGGTGTTTTTGGTGCCTCCTCCCTTGGAGCAGCAGTTCCAGTGGTGTGACACTGTGTATTGTGGTAAGGATACGTGATACATGCTAGCCCCTCCAAACGTGTGCACATAGAGGGATTGATCCCACAGAAACAGGCAGTACAATACAGAGAATGCTGAAACGGCGCAGCACCGCTTGTGTGCGTGACCTGGCTTGAGCATGCCATGTGAACGTAACTTTCTCTGTGCATTATGTGTTAATGCGTCTCTGACGAGTGATCTTTCACCTCCGAGTTGCTCGGATACCGAAAAGAGCTGGGCAGCAATTTGGCTTGCGAAGTCTACAACGGGCAAGTGGCAAAGGTTTTAGCTCACCTCCTCGCATCATGGTATTGTGGCTCATAATGAACTAATTAAAAAATTGTGGTACAAATCCCTTCACTGGGCACACAGCTTCCAGTGTCTAACTAAAATTTCTCACGTGACCTGGTGAAGCGCCCTTTGCAAAACCATGTGAACTTTTGATGTTTTTACCTTATGCCCTTTCTCCTGATGACACTCCAAGGTCCTGCATTTTTTCTATGTCCTGTGGCTGCCCAGAAGTACCTCGTATTCCCTATAGGTGCGAACAGATGTCGTGGACATGGCGAGCAGACAATGCGATGCGGATAAATACATGTGTAGAGGCTAATCGGCCTTCCTATTGCCAACGGAGCTTTGTAGTCTTGACACTGCTGAAACGAACTTCTAGATGGAGTATACACTGCACCCCATAGAGTCCCGAAAGCTCAATTTTGCTCGGTAAATGAATACCGGTCTTCAACTGTACTCGAAATAAAGATTTGAGGTTAAGTCGCGTTGACATAGGAACTGATTTTGCAAATGGGCCTTTATATGCACTAATAGGAATTTAGGCACAGACATCAAAAATAGGGATTTATAGGCACTATAAAAACACTAATAGAAGTTCTTCTTAAGCTCTAATTCATGCTCATATATCAGTAGGGCATGATAGGAACACAAGAAACAAAATAAGCATTTGCCTATAATCCATTCCCTTTAATAACACAGGTAAGAGAGGTTGTGCACATCTTCCTGCGCATTGTAACGCCTGTGGATAGGAACCATGCTTTGCGCAAGCGCCCATTTTGGACAAAAGCAACAAACTGCTAGTGTGTGTTAAAAGAATTCATAATTAAAAAGAAAGGGTCCGATTGTCTGTGACATGTCTATAACTTTGTATTCAATAGGCATGTTGCTTTCTCGATAATATGTTGTCTTGACCATGTTGTTGCACCATGTTTTGGCTATCTGCACTAGCGCGGAAATGTCCTCTTTTTTGCTGTGCACTTCTCAGACTGTCATTAAACAGGTGGTAGTTTGACACTTCACTTTTTTCTCTTCTGCCCCCCTCTTCATTGTCCTTTTTCACGACATGTATTTGCGCTTCAGTCAAGTGTGTCATTAACACCTCTCTGAAGTTTAGTATTAACAGCCCTACCAAACTGTAATGGCAATAATTGAATGTCATACTGAACAATTAAATAATTGAATAAATACGATCACAGCATTCCATCTCACATTCCTCGCAATAGCACGTTCGCATGCCGCCTAACTGCTACATGCCATGTACATCTGCCTCGTACTATACTCACTTTTGCTCCTTACATGCAGAAATACATGCAGGTGCCTGTGGAAGTATGTAGTATGTGTAGAGAGGAAGACAATTATGTGCCGCAGTGGGTCACGCCTTTAGCGAGAGGAGCCCAGCGCAAGCTGTTGTCCCGAGCGCTGCGATTCCTGGGTCGGTTGCCGCCGCCCGCTTTTTGCATCAATAGATCTGCTGTGCAAGTACCGTATTTACTCGATTCTACCGCGCCCTCGATTGTAACGCGCACCCGATTTCCACCGCGAAAAAAAAAAAAAAAAAAAAAACCCGTAAGACATCGATTGCAACGCGCACCCATTTTTTTTTTTTTTTTTTTTTTTTTGCTGGCCCGCACGATCACCCCACTCGAAAAAACGATTCCTTTCGGGATTGTCTTCCATTTAATTATGAGGTACGGGCGAAGCTTGTGCCCATCTGACGTGTAAAAGAGCATTGCCGTCACTGTAGTTTTACCGTGGACCGATGTCAGCACGCGAACTTGCTTCGCCCCCTTCTTCTCGACAGTTGTGGTGCCAGGCATGTCGAAGTAAAGAGGCGTCTGATCGGCATTCCAGATTTGCCCAAGCAGGTAGCCGTTGTTGCGCCGCAAGTTTAGGACGAACCTCTGAAAACTGTAAAGCTTTTCATCGTACTTCACCGCAAAAGTTTTCGCATATGCATGTTCCCCTTCGGAGGGAAGATCCTTTCCTCTTCATATAGTTAATTAGCCAGCACCTGCTCGCTTTAAACAGGCTCCGCATTAGACTTTTTTCTAAGACTAATTGCATAGCCCACACTTGGAGCAGTTCTGTCGTCATGGGCCGCTGTGCCTCTCGCTCCTCAAGCACATACTCGCGGAGCAGCTTTTCAATTTACGGAAACCGATTCTGCTGTGGTTCACTGAAGCCTTTGCGTGAATCTTTGCTGTCGACAATCTTCTGCTTTTGTTTCCGCCGGTCCCGCACGCATGTTTCGAGAAGGACCGCGATGCGGCCCGATTTCCGTCCGTTTCTGCACACGCGATGACTTTTCTTTTAAAAGCGGCATCGTGGTGCACTCGAGTTTTTGGAGTCGGCCCTTCCACGTCGTCGATGCTAATGCACTACTAGATGACGAACTCCTCAGCACACGTACGAAGTGCCGCACATGGGAAACACATAGGCAGAAATAGCCGACGCACCATGCCGACGCACGTAGGGGGCGGCCATTTTGAATTTGCGATGGCAATAGATTGACCGTAATTTTTTTGTTCGTACTCGATTCTAACGCGCATGCGATTTATGAACTCGCTTAACCGGAAAAAAGGTGCGCGTTAGATTCGAGTAATTACGGTACTACTTACGCCAATAAACCCCCTTTCATATGTAAGATTTAATAATACTCAACAAACAGCGACATTTTATTTTCGTATCGTGCTCCCATGACAGCTTCTAGCAGCAAGTGGCAGAGAAGCCAGCTCACTCGGCGTACACACTTTCTTCATAGTGTTCCATGGGGCATTCTGGGATTGCTTGAAAAAGCTCTCTTGTGCAGTGCATTCTCATTCGACCGTATTGTTGTCTTCCAGGCGGTACTTCATGGACAAGAACTCTCTGAATGACCACCTGAAAAGCAAGAACCACAAACGAAGGTGACTTTTTTGTGTTTATTGGAGTCAATTGGCCTTGCTAAATTTTCATCACACATTATTTATGTTACTATAGGGCATTTAACCTTGTGATGTCCAATATAGACTGGCCAACATTATAGTGAAAAAAATCAGGCATACATTACCATGCATGCATCAAAATGTGGTGATACCATATGTGCGTGGTTGTTCACATCGCCTCGAATCAGTGAGAACTCTGCAAGTCGGTGTTTTTTTTTTTTCTGACCACGAGGGGCACCGTGCATAGCATATGCGTGGCTTTGTGCAGATGCAATTAGTCCAACTCTAACTTACAAGCTGTGTGCATCATTAACCACACCTGCAAACATCTTTCCTGAAGCTTGGGGGGTCTACAATATCCCTTTATCGTGTACACTCATACCTCAATATAACAAATTGGGATATAACGAAATATCGGTTATAACAAAGTAACTGAAACATAGTCTTACAGTAAGTATCTTCATTATCATCAGCCTGACTACGCCCATTGTAGGGCAAAGGCCTCTACCATGATCAACCTGGTCTTGTGCAGCAGTTCACCCTATTCTGTGCGAACTGGTTTCATTTTCTCCCTGTGTGCTTCCTAATTTCGTCACTCCATCTAACTCTCTGCCTTCCCTGACTGCATTTCTCATCCATTCTATTGCTGTTAATGTCTGCCAGTTGTCTGTTCTATGCATTATATGACCAGCCAAGGTCCTTTTTTTTTTCTGCTCGATGTCAGCTAAGATATCTGCAACTCCTGTCTGTTCTCTTACTCCTTCTGCTGTCTTCTGATCCCTGAATGTTATTTGTATCATTCTACATTCCTTGCATACTGCATGGTCCACGGCTTTTGCTCCACTTTTGTTATTCTTCATGTTTCATTTCAGACCTTTCAAGGTCGGAACAGCTGCGCCATTTACGCCACTGTGTGCCAAACCTTTTACTTGTGCCATCCTGCGCTGAGCCACCCCCGTTGCTCCAACCTCGTTTATTAGTGCCGTAGTGCACAATAGCACCTGAATAGTATAGCCGTAAGGTGCGGCAGCCATCAAGCATTATGCCCCATAGAGTTAAAAATCAGGGGACCCTTAAGCTTTGCCTTTAAGAGTTGAACGTGATAGCGAAATCCGGCCCCTAGTGCGCCCTTCAACCGCTAAGTACATACTTATTAATATGTTTTGTCGCACGCACGCACGCACGCACGCACACACACACACACACACACACACACACACACACACACACACACACACACACACACACAGTAGATTGTATCGGGGTGCGCGAATGGTACATACAGGTTTTTGATCTAAAGCAAGAGTTGCATGGCCTCCAGGATGGCGGGCACGTGGTGTGTATCTCCAAGATACATGCCACGCGCTCACCATCTTAGAGGCCATAAAGAGTCTCACAATGCCTCACAGATGGCAGCACATTATCTAGCGTTTGCTGTTTGCTTAATCAACGCCTCTGGAAAGGCATGATATGTTTTCCACTACATGGACATAGTTGTCTATTTTTAGAGCTGTTTGAAAGTTCCTGTGTGTTTTTAGTGGCGATGGCTACACTATCCCGGCCATTTTCGACGTACTTTGAGGCCTTCCAAATGCACCTACAAATAGCTGAATGGGTTCGTTTTTGTCGTGACGCCTGTCCAACAAAATGCGTTAAAGGGGCACTGAAACACTTTTTCAAGTAACCATGGAATGAATTCACTAGAAGAGCTTATTGTCTCACGAATTCAACGCTGCAAAAATTTTAAGAATCTGCCCAGTGCTAGTGTAGTTTCAAAGGTTTGTTGCATGCTGCAATTGCATTATCTCTTCTCTCACCCTGACGAGAGCGCTGGAAGCCAAGCAGGGAAGGGCGGCTGGGACAAAGAAACTATACACCCGCGCTTCGTGACCTTGAGCACTTCATTTTTTTTTTCTTCGAATGCGCGGCTTTTTTAGTGTGAATGCGCGCGCACGCGTGGACAAGTAGCGGCCTCTTGCGGCGATCTATGTAACGAGCTCTTTCGCTCACAGACGATTTTTCGCTCACAACCAATGGGGCCGACGTCGACGGCAAAATTTCTCCGACACGAGCTCTCTAACGCTATCGCGTTAATATGAGCTCTATGTTGTGCCTGAAAACATGGCCGAAACACCGTGGTTTTGGTTTCATCAAAACGGTTATAGTTTCAGTTTTATCGAGGCTGGGATCACTTGAGCAGCTGTGCACTTTGATTCTGAGGGCAACGTTACAATGGCAGGGGCGCATGCTATGGAACAGCTGCGCCATTTGCATCAATGTGCGCCAAACTGGTTTACCTGTGCCATCTTGCGGCGAACCGCCCCTGTTGCACCAAATTCATTTATCAGTGCTGTATTGCGCCGCACATTCTAAATGTTGCCATCAAGCACCGCGTCCGAAAACGGGACTGAAACATCATGTTTTCGGGCTCTTCGGAGCTGTTCTAATTTCCGTTTCGTCAAAGCTGTGATCGCTCAAGCAGCAGCTGTGAACTTTGATTCTGAGCGTGTGGTTGTGATTGCAGGCGCACTCACTAACTTGGCATGCGTCAGCGCGTATGGCTATGCGAAGTGTGCTATTAACACATAGAGACGGCTGATAGAGCACCTGTCCTTTAGGTTAGCTACCAGTCTTTGTACAACATTACAATTTGTTGCTGTCGCATTAGTTGCTTCACCGTTGCGGTGGAACAGATTTTTATTCATAACTTGACAGCAGTATTCAGAAAAGAAAGAAAAAGTGCTTAAAAGAAGCAGGGGTAGTATACGCTTGCCCATTCTCATTCATTTCGCCGCTGTGCTCTGTTATGTAGTGCTTATTGACTCAGCGGTTGACGCTCGCACGTTCAGGTTTTACAAATGGGCGGCTATATATATATATAGATAAAAAAGTCACAGCTTAATCGCAAGAGCGAAGCAATGAACATTATCACAATGAACTTAGGATTCGATTTCATGTAACTCTAGAAAGCACTGGTGTAAGAGAGCATGGTCACTCCAGGTTGAGCAACAGTTTTCACACAGTCTTCATGACGAGAGCACAGCACATAGAAGTTAATGGTGCCGCTCTCTCATGGCTGCCGAGCTAGTGTACACACTAACGATCGCGCCACTGGTAGCAAAGTTCACAATTTCTCGCTGAGCAACCTCCCCCCCCCCCCCCCCCCCTGCGCTCGCGTCTTTTAATCTTGTTCAAACGAGTGGTGCGTTTCCTCTCTGCTTCGTCTGGAGGACTTCGAAGCGGGCGTGATGTTATCGCATGCGCCCTCCGAGTGACAGAGAAGAGGTGGCTTGATTGATCACTTCTTCAGCTGTGTTTGTCACCCCCGCTTGAGCGCTTTCACTCGCGCGTAGAGTATACAATGCGCGGAAGTTTGTTATCAGTACGAACTTTATATGGGATATGACGGGAACGGTGTTGGAAAAAACCGACCGAGAGTGACTGCTATCGCAATAATAAGGCTATTACACAATTGTTTGGAAAATGCAGCACTAAACAAATGTTACTTTACTACTTTACAAGTGCTTTGTAATGGGGCTACACCAGCTCTGAACGTTCTCGATTTCTGACTTCTCCAAATTTGCTCAAAAAGCTCTCCAAGCCTGCTGCAAAATGTCTTTCTGGACAATAGGCATTCTTGCCTACTCCCACCTTTGTGTAAAAGAAAGTTTTCAGAAACCGTCTTGTCAGTTGACGTACCTGAACTTATTAACACGTTGACGTGTATTTGTAAAACAAATAAGCTTATGCTGATTGTGCCAGATGACCTAACAAGGGAAAAACATTGGCTTAATGGCCATACTGGATGTGAACAAGAAGTTAGCTTAGAAGAAATCCGGAGAAATGAATGAAAAAAGTTTAAAATTTGGTGTTAAAACAAAAAATAATACTGAAAAGAACTGATTAAGCGGTCTGTTGCCACTAAGCAACGTACAACAGTGCACTGAGGAAATATAGTGTTGGCCAGCGCGTACCCTTAAAAATCCTCCTGCCACCTGGGCAAAGTCATGAAAGTTTATTTTGGAGTGGACAGGAAGCTGTGCTCCTGCCGACAAAAGGTGTTTTTGGGTCCTTACACGCTTGATAGTTGTTTACTTTGGTGAGAAAACAAGCTGTTGAAACTCAACGGCGACAAGAAGGAAAAGAAGACTGCAGGCAACAAAGGCACACCCAGTAGTAAGCGAAAAATGAGAAATTAAGGCAGCTTGCACTAGGGGTGCCAAGAAGTCCAAAGGAGCTGAAAGGCGGCCTTCCTTGTTTATCTTTGGTTCCCGCTTTCTTTCTTTCTTTTTCCTTTCGCCAACTTCTTTCTTTCTCTTTCCCCGCCGCAGTGGTCTAGTGATTAAGGTACTCGGCTGCTGACCCGCAGGTCGCGGGATCAAATCCCGGCTGCGGCGACTGCATTTCCCATGGAGGCGGAAATGTTGTAGACAAGTTTGCTCAGATTTGGGTGTCTGTTAAAGAACCTCAGGTGGTCGAAATTTTCGGAGCCTTCTACTACGGCGTCTCTCATAATCATATGGTGGTTTTGGGAAGTTAAAACCCACATATCAATCATTCATTTCTTTCTCTTTATTTATTTTTATCATTATCAAGGTGTTTGCAGAACAAGAGGAAGAAGAATTCTCTTAGGTGAGAAAGCGCAGTCGAGTGTTATACCGAACGGCGTTGCATTTGGGGAGTTCCTTTTGGAAGGTACGCCACCGTTTCATTCAGGATCCGTTGAACTGCAACGGTAACTCATTACATTTGCGAAGGAACGGTAGAGGAAAACGGCGTTCCATCTGTAAATGTTTTGCGGCACTCAACAGGCACACGCAAGCTGCAGATCATGCAGCTTACGTGAGCGACCATGTGAGGCGCCAAATGTACTGCTCGCCTACCTCGTGACTATGATGCATCCTGATCACTGGGGGAGCAGGGGAGCGAAATATGCCAACGGGCTGACCTTGCGAAAGAGGAACAGTTGATTATTACAGCATAGGGGTTACAGGTGCATAGGTTTGCAGTGGCTCCTAAAAAATTATGAGCCTGCACATGCTCACTTCATCCTCTTCAACTTGGCTCCCTGTACCCATGCGCTGATTGGTCTAGCGAGGGATGCAATAACTGTGATGGACGGGATAAGAACTAGTACAGAGAGAGAAGGAAAAGTACTTGGGGGAAAAATTCGGCAGATCCCACCTACCTTGGGAATCAATGTTATGCAAAGCATGCAAATGAAAGATGACTGTGTGTTGTAATTTTTTTTTGACAGAAAGATTACGAAGTGGCGCTAAAGATATGTACAAATGCATGCACAGACATATGTTAAACAGCCGCATATATTTTGGATAACCAGTTGTTAGCAGTTGTGCAACGATGCCTGCAGCAACATCGATATTAGCAACACCAAAAGCGGTAAGCTGATATGAAGCGCTGGTGCTCGTGAGGCTGGTAGTCCCAGACTTCGCTCATAAACCTCAGTGGATGGCGCTTAACTAGAATTGACGTTAACCCGATGTGATGGCTATGTCATAGGAGTACATATGTAATGTTTATAAAATTGGATAGGCAGCCATGCAACCACAGTTGTCCTTTCACGAACATTAGGGTCTATTTAAAATTAGTTTCAAGACATGGCATGGCCCTGTGGTAGAATACTTCATTGCCATGCAGAATTCTGGGGTTTGATTCCTGCTTCAACCCTGACATTTTTTTTTGCATTTGTTGGGTCACCACCGCCAATGTCGGCTTTTTGTTAACATTGACGCATTAAAATTATCCATGGCAAAATTACCCATGTCTGTTCTCGTGGTTTCTGGGTAGATATAAACTATCAATCACCTGTGGCACATACCTGCATACCTGTGGCACATACCCACCCATGGGTATGTGCCTCACCTCCGGTGGGTTTGATGACGTACGCAAAGGGATAGTGACATTATCCATGTCATGTACAGCGAGTCATATACATCAAACCATCTTTTCCTCCCATACTAATTTTGGTTTACTGCAAGTTGAGGGGGTGATCTTGAGAACACCCGGATGTAAGCGGATGGATAGATAGATGGCTGGATGGATGAACAGACAAAGACAGACAGGTGCTTGAAGTGGCTGCAGTACACAAAGAAATGCTTAGGCATATAAAAATTTAGCGAGGTGATATTCGAGACCGTCTATCCCCGATTTGAAAGCGAGCACCGCAACTAATTTTTCTAATGGTGCTTATTCAACCTAGGCATGGCACTGTGAAGCAACTCAATAGAGACAGAGAAGTAATATATTTATTTATTCTGCTTGTATCACAACCCAACGACAAACACATAGCACTAGAGAATTTGCATTTATCTTAAGAACGAATACATCATTTGTAATTCATTCATAATTTATAAATCATTTATAATTCATTTATAATTTATAAATTATGAATGGTCTTGTATAATTATTCACTAGAATGGTAGTAAAAATGAAAACATCACTAATGCTAATACCATTCTTGCTGACTTTTCATTTGCTTCTGTGCATCTCTTAGCTGAATGACCATCTTTATGAAGTGGGATGTTGAACCACCTATGCATTTTTCTGATACATGCACGGACACTAGAAGGGCATAGCATAGCCTTCTATAATTTAGTATATCAAGGGGGAGGGAAAGGAAAATGAAGGTGAGGAGGGGAGAATCGGCATTGAGAGAAAGAAAGGGGAAAAAAGATAAGCAAAAGAACAACTGCGAGAGAGGGTAGGGGGGCATAGGGGAAAAATATATGTAAAAAAAACTAGAAAAATAGAGAAAACAAAAAGGAAGAAAGAGTGAAATAAAGTTGACAGACAGAAAAGTAAATTTACAGAAATATGTTTGGTGACTGCGAACAGCGGACCACTAAGATCCAAATGTGCGTCCTGGACATCATTTCCTACTCCCTCTGAAACATGGAATCGCCACTAAGTATTGTCACTGTCGCTGTGGTTTCTTGTGCAGGAATTTTAACTATATATGCAAATGAGTGGATATTTCTATTTGAATACCTGAGCCGCAGTATCCTGACTGCCTTTGAAGACCAACGTAGTATGTGCTACGTGTTGAAATGGATGAGCTAAAAATATGTTGTTGCCTCATTAGTGGAAAGAAGAGATCCGCAATCGGTTTTGCTGTAAAAATTTTTGTCGAGGCACAGTAAATAAATAATGACGAAGAGGTGGAGTGCCACTATTACCTGCTCTGCTGTATTTTTTAAAAATTTTACAATGAATTGCGCAAAATGTATTAACGCTGTGTACCTCAAAATTCCTTAGCTAAATATAGACGTACTTGTGCTTACGTTCAATCATATTTCGAATCTATGCATAGTGTAGACATAGTGTAGCTACCGACTTATAATTCACAGCTTCATGCCACAGTGATTCAATGAACCCCCACGCGTACAACATTTTCTAATCATTCACTGCTAATTTGCAAGGGTGAAAAAGAATTACTCAATACCAATATCATGCCGAATTGAAAAGCTGTACGCAAATAACAATTTCGTACATTCTTCAGACCCACATGTTGTGCTCAGTCTTGCACAAAGGTCTTATTCGACGGGCTCTCTTCACACAACAACAGGGACTGTGCATGCTTACTTGCTTGTTGATCCCACAGTCATGGCCGCTCCCATTACGAAACCATTTCGAAATTGGCGTCCTCAGTGTCGTCAAGAGCTATTTCAGTGCTGCTTGCCTTTCAAGAAAGTGAAGTATATGCCTGCATTCCATACTTAGCGGGCAGGAAGTCCAATCTACTGTTGCCTGTCCTTGTGCAAGGGCATTTCTCGACGGACCGCTACTGCAAATGAAATTATATAATGCAGCATGTTTTTATTGATTGTGAAAGCTGATGTGCAAGAGAACAAGTGGGAAAATTATAAAAAATGTCAGAAATGTTTTTATTGATCGTCGTCAGAAGTTTTCCTTGCATGCTTTTTTCTTAAAGTTAGTGAGATCATATATTTTGGTGAAAAAGTCTTATTAATATAAGCTTTGGCAGTCTTATAAAAGCATGCTGAGAAAGTAGTGCGAAATTTTTACTGCTCTGTCATTGGTGCTCTTTAGAATGAAGGCCCACAAACTAAGCAAAAAAAAAATTTTTTTCATGTCAAATTTCACAATTTTTAATAAAAAATCTACACTATGCATAGATTCGAAATATGATTGACCTAAGCAGAAGTACGTCTATATTTTGTTAAAGAACTTTGAGGTACATAGGAATAATATATTTTGTGTGAAAAAGTCCAATTCTCATGGAAAAAGCCCATAGTCCAATTAAAAAACAACAACAACAACAACAACAACAACAACAGAGCAGCTAAGCGTGGCACTCCACCTCTTTGATACTGTTGATTTACTGTGCCTCGAAAAAAATTGTTACAGCAAAACCAATTGCAAATCTGTTCTTTCCGCTAATGAGGCAACAATATATAAATTTTCGAAAAAAATTTAAGAGGTCGACCAGCCATGCTTTGTTCGATATTACGTGGAATCTCCTATATATACTCGAGGTGAGCTTTAACCTTATCTCGTCACGAGTATCTGACACTGCATAGATATTTATTGAAAGTCAGATGTAACCGTTAATGTAACGACACGTCCCAATTTCAGAAATGTAGCTGTAACAAGTTTCTTTTGTAACGAGTTAAGGAACTTGTAATGGGGACCCGTTCCAAAGTAGAGAAGGAACAAGGAACGAACTTTCATTCCTGTTTCAGAGGAACGTGTACGAGATTGGTGTGCTCACACGGCTATGCTATATGTGTTTTTGCCGTTACACCATGCATACGACAGCATACGATAGCATACTACAGCGTGGCCCTCTAAAGTCCCCATCTTCGCATCAAATGCAGTCTCTCTCATCTCGATTCGGCAACATAATACCTGGATACTTATGTTCTTCAGCTTCATTTAGGCCAAAGACTTTAGTGTCTCATATTTGCTGTGCCAGCTGTAGTGTCTTCCCCTCATCTGGGAAGATAAATGAGCCTTATGAGTACTAGAACACGGATCTTATCTGTACGATGCGCCAAGAGCAATATGAGCGTATGCTAAACTAAGGTTCACATTGCGCTGCGATTTGAGGTAAAAATTAAAAAAGAAAAGCGCACATTTTGTTTGTCTACCATTCTGCTGGGAGTGTAAAAGAAAGAAAGACATGGCATGGTCAGTGAATTGGCCACAAGCTTCCGCTGAACACACTTTAGAAATTGCAAAGTGGCCTTCAATTTTTTAAAGTTCATGCATTAAAAAATTGCCATCTCTATGTAAAGTTCAGAGCACATAAGCATGTGATTTTATCAGATTTTTAAGTTTCAAGTTTTATTCAGCAACGATGTCAGTTTACAGGAAAGTGGATACAGGATTGGAAATACACTCAAGGAGCCCCAAAGTTAGAAATTGTCAGGGGGGCTCCCATACATGATAACGGGAGAAGAAACAAAATATACAACATTCAGTTGTTATGGTATCATCAGTAAGAAAAAAAAGCACAGTGCGAAAAGACGAAAGTAGAAAATACATATATGTTTAGCAAGGCAAAAGAGAAAACTCTGAAGAACAAACAAGCGCAAATTATAATACAAAATGTAAGGAAAATATAACATGTAGCAGTTGTGATCGCTACATTAAAAAGCAGTTGCTAAGATGAAGACAACTGTTGTGAAAAATATTTTTTACTTGGTTTTTGAATGCATGTTCTGTGGTTTATGATTTTGTTACGTAAGGAAGAGAATCCCACAGCTTGATTCCCGTAAATGTGGTTGTGAGCTTGCCGTAGTTTGTGCGAACTTTAGGCAGAAGGCGGTTATCAAGCTCAGAAAACCTAGTAGACATTGTATACATTTGTAAACATTGTATACATTGTGCTGTTTTGCAATATGTAATGGTTTGTATAATGAATTCTGCAGACTTCGCCAGTCGTTCTCCAGAATTGCTGTAAACTCAATGCATAATTTTTATCCCATGTGCAGATTGAAGTCCTTGGAAGAGGAACCATACAGCCAAGCCGAAGCTGAAGCTGCTGCCGGCATGGGAAGTTACATTCTTCCCAAGAGATGTAAAGTAGAATCGCAGCCGCTAAAGGAGTAGAATCTGTGCATGAATGCCATTAAGCTTCGTTTCATCCACCCTCAAAGTGCACATGCTCAAAAGGAATATTCGTTTCAATAAATATATGTTGAACAAGATCCTCAAAGGTATAATTCCTGACTTGCTCTGCTAATTGTGGCATGGCAATTGACACCACGCACTGCACCACCCTTCCCTGTGAGTTCAGTTTGCAAAGTTTGAAAGCAGTTACTCCCGCGTAAAAAATACAGCAGTGGCTGTTGGGGCCGTACAGAGAGTAGAAAAAGGCAATCAGTACAAAGAGTTTTTCTTCAAATTGCTAAAAGCATGCATGTGGTGACCACTGTGGGCACTTGAATAATCAATGTCCAGGCTGTTTTCATGTGCTCGCAAGACATTGTTTGCCATGGTTGTTAATTTTTCCAGGCACTTAGGCGCACACTACTCAAACACAAAGAGTGATGCACAGAAAGGGAAGCTTTGCAGAAAGCACTCAGTGGTAGCTTGAAAGAGTTGTGTTGACAAAAGATGTGCCTATTGCCAGGGAACTAAACACAGTACGGCCACGTGCCACGTGTGGTGGTCGGAGGTGTTTGGCCAGGAATATAGCTCCTTGCAAAGTGCTGCTAAGGCATCAGCTCATTGTCTTGGTAGACGCTGAAAAAAACACAGGTGATTCCACTGTCATAGGAATTGGTATAACACGAAAGTGAAACTTGTCTTCATAGAAGCAGTTGAGTGTTTATATTATTTTCATTTTATTACCTTAAAAGCCCAACAGGGGCATTACAGAAGAGGTGGGTTTACATATGTTCATTATACATTGTTAGAAATAACATTTCAATAAGCATTATTAAACAAGACATGGGTGCATGTGTACATGATTCTGTGATATACACAAGCAGTTAGAATAATGAAAATGACATCCAGTGATTTTTATTCTGAAAAAATATAAGAATGTCGGTGTGCTAGTTAGGGTGGCAATTTGGTGGGTCAGGCAGGCTGCTCAGACCTGTGGCTGTGTGGAAAAAAAAAAAAAAAAACTTGAAAAGGTAGTAGTATGAGATAGTAAAGGTAAAGTAGTCAAGGTACACCGTATTGTACACTGTTTTTCCACAAGGTCGAATTAATAAATACTTTATAGGAACAAATTGGCACGTGAACAACGGCAAGCCGCTTGAAACTCGCAGCATGTTCCTCAAGCAGAAAGGAAGCAGAACAAGAACATACACAGGATGAGCACGAACAGCTCAATACATCAAGCACTCTAAGGATACACAGAACGAATGCACAAGTACACATGGGACACGCACAAACTAACTACTGTTGTCTGTGAACAGTGTGCTCTTTTCACAAACACCGCCGCTGCAGCAAGCGAAGTGACCTTCATGCTCTCTCTAATGTCAGCACGAACTTGTGGTGAAAGCCCAAGGCGCACAAAATGCCCTGATCATGAGATAAGTGCGAGCGCGCTAGCCACCGCACCCTGTTTAGGTGTGTGAGCAACGTAACGGGCTGGCTGATGACTTTTAAAGCGCGCCCTCTGGACCCTTCATGTCATTTTGCCAGCGATGACAAGGACATGCAGAAGTCATCGATTTATGAGCGCCGCCTGCGGTAAGTGGTGTCTAGAAATAGCTCAGCGATAGCAAACCGAATAACATACGCTTTGTGGCTGAGTCGGTTCACGCTGCAGAGCAAGCGGTCATAGGCTCGACTTGTGGCGACAGAACGCGACTCTTTAGGCTCGCACGATGTCTGTTGTCGCTGTCATCACCCGTTGGACTGAAACACATGCAGTTGTTGCATATACTGTACATTAGGCATTCATACACGCATATGGTTTAAAATTCACCGTGCTTTGCCCGTCCGACAGTTGTTTATACTAGTTTGCGACTTCTACGATATGGACCTTAGGGCCTACCTCCATGCCATCATCATTCACTTCATGGATCTGCAGCCCTCTTCTTGTAGTTTTTCCTTTGCCATCTTTCAGTATATATTTTACAACTTCATATGTGTTATGGAAATACGTCGGTGAAGCCATGGTGGACCCTGGCATAAAACATTTTTACCTTAAAGTAAATGCGAGGCTTGTGCGAAAAATGCAGCACAGTCACAGTGGAAGCACAGCTGGAAGCTTGAAGAGTGGCATTTCTAGAGCCTGTTGTAAACTCTCTTGGGGCTACCTCGCAAGTACACATTCAAGGTACCAGCTACATCATGTCATAATTTCTGTCAAGTTAGGAAGCACCTACTATGCCATTTGTCCTTCTGAAGAAGATAGTGGTACCCGCCACACATCTGCTAAGCATTATGTGTACTTTGTTGATGCAGTGGCTGATGACGATGTAGAAATATGGCTGAGCCTTCTGTAATGACTGTAAAGACCCACTCGTTATGCAATTCACATTGTGTGACACGTGATTCACACTTCGCATGCTGTGATGCTTGGTTATTTTACTCTGCTGCCATACTATTAGCCCCAAGATCGAGCAGAGTCAGCGCCTGGTGGCCACTGGCTGAAACACACTTAGTGTAGCACAGACTGGCTAGGCTGTATCTGTGCGTGCTTTTCACGTTCTCACGGACTTGTCACCCTTTGCCAAAACAATGGGAGAGTTTTTGAGTATGTTTCGCCACCTGTCGGCGGTAAGGGCGCTGCGACCCTGATTTTGCATCTTCTGCGCCGCACAAACGGCTCTAGAGTGTGTGCGGTGTGAAAACGCGGAATGTGGGTGCTCAATGAAGAAGAAGGAGGGGGATTATTCAAGAAGTGAGGAGAAGGGGCAGAGAGATGATCATCATCTTTAAAAAAAACAAAAAAAAAAACTAGTGTTATCAGACTGCTCACCGCATAATGTAGGTATAAGCATGTGCTCGTGGATAATACCAGCTGAACCTCAGTAAAAATGCAGAAAAAGCAGTTAACAAAGCACAATGCAAGAAGCATAAAACAATGTGTGGTGAGTTAGGGGTTTACTCAATGGGCCCAGGTCATCGGACGCACTCAAGGTAACCTGATAACACGAAGACATTCTCTATATTGGATGAGGACAAGGACAAGAACACACACGATGAAACTTCACAAAGAACATCAGGACGATGCAAGGTTAAAAAAAAAGTGTACTGGCAAGTTCCTGTCCACGTGAGACGTAAGTCTACATCTTAACACTCAACGTACTTAACTCCCGTGCCACCAAGTTTTCAAGACGACACTCATGCGCACCGTTGTTGCGGTGACCTGAAGCTCTCTCGTCGTCAGGAGACGGTGTGCCTCGTGCTTGCGGAGTCCGTACCGAGGCGGGACCCGGCCTGGGGCATCCCAGTAAGGTGGTCAGCGCCTGAGCTTGCCTGTACTCACACCGAGAACAGCGTACCGACGACTGCCGTGAAAAGACCTGGGACAGCGTCTCACTCCGAGACCAGAACAGCAGCTGGCCGTGAAGAACGTTGCTTCAGACATACCCGGGGGTGAGGTGGGGCGATGCCCAGTCTAGAACGCACCCGAGGACTTCAACGCCGAGACGAGGCCCGGACACGGAGGGTCAGAACGAGCAGTCGGGGCGTGGCCCGAACTTGTTCTTGCGCTCTGCTCTCTGGGGTTAGCCGAGCTGTCCCCGTGGCTCGGGAGCTTTCCACAAGGTACGCGGACGAGCACGCGCATAGGCGAGCTTCATCATTTCACCGCTATCACTATCATGGTAATTCCCGCGCACCTGAAATGCTAAATCGGCCCCTACGGCTCACTTGTCGAAGTCATCACACACTGGAAATGATTAAAGTGAGAGAAATAAACAACGCCGCGCCTGTTCTGCAAGCGGAGAGCATTAAATACCTTTGCCCCTTGGTCTCGTTGGACAATGAGGCTGCAATTAAGAGGTCGCTTACAGAAGTGATGAGCACACCTTTTCTTAACTGGCTATTTTCTCTTTATTTTTACAAAGAAGTTTTGGAGTGTTTTTGAGGGCTAAAAGCTGCAGTCTGCCTCTTGACAGCTCTTTGAAACGCGTATGTTAGTTGTATCTGTAATGGTTAAAAAGAACTGTGTATAGGAAGAAATTAAAAAAAAAAGAGAAAGAAAGAGGGTGCTTGCTGCTAAATAACCCCTTCGGACGTCACGCCCTGACAGTAGTGGTGTGCATAGTAAAGGTGTTAACACCACCTAGAAACATTAATTCCAGGGACTCCAAGCCCTTTTGTGTTTCTTTGTACTGCAGCCACATCCATGAATGCAAAGAACGCAGCTGCTCAGGCTCGCCAGCCGCACCGCTTAGCCTGGAACTAAAACTTTTTAGTGCAAAGCAGTTCTGCGCTATCAAAGTTTTTGGAAGAAAATGCTTAGAAAGAAAAACTGGCAACCTTTGAATAATCTGGCAAGTAAGCAGCTTTTTTTCTGAAAAACTCGTATGAATCATCTTGTGGCTTAGTGCTACAAGCAGGTTGTTGTCAATTTCCCTTTCTCTCTAGCATGGCTTGCTTTATTCTGGGATTTGTCCACTGCAGATGCATTTTGTTCAATGTTTTCTCAGTGTTCAATATTCAGTGATTTCTCAGCTTGAGGAGACGATCGTACAACCTTCAGTACACGCAGTACGTACATGGATATATATTAGCTGTCTTATGGTGTATTGCTGTGTTATGTATTGCAAGTCCCATTCAAGGAAAACACCCAGTGTTTATTTTCACCCATTTACAAGCAATGCTGAGATGTGCACTAAATGGGAAAAGAATATTGCGAGAGGCAACCTTATCATCAACAAGTCTGCATCGACTGTCGTATGCTTTTAGACATTTCCGCGATGAAGACTATGTGCCTGCTTGCCTTCTTCCTGACTCCATGTCTGCTCCCTTTGAGATCCTTCCACTTGATTCCAAGTGCAAAGAAGCTTCGCAAACATCCTGTTTCACGAGCTTCATCCCTACTTCAAACACCAAGAAAGCGAAAAGAGGAGGCCAACAAACTAGATCTGAATGTTGCAATTTCACAAGATATATTCGCTGGGCAAGAAGCAGTAAGTGTTTGCACTTAAACAATGAACAGCAACGCTTATAGCACGGGTTGATACCTGGCTACGATAGGAAGATTTCGCTCCCAAGTATCGTACCATTGTTCAAAAT